CATCAATTTAAAGCATCCTTGGTAAATAAAAGTATTAATTTCTAAACTGCTCCCTGATCTCCTCATTATGAAATGTATGAATAATTTATGATCAGTCTGTCTATCAAGTGTGTTGTATTTGTGAAAACATGGCTTCCTTGGGGATATAAGCCTCTGTGTATGTAGAGCAGCCTTCCCTGTGAGTGCACCCAAACAAAGACACACAAAACCAGTGGTTTGTATATTATATCCATAATATGTAGCTCAGGGGTCCTTTTTCAGGCCTAGAACCCCTGGATGTATAGAGAGATGGAGCAGGTTACTCTGATGCTTGCCTTGAAAATACATTAAAAAAATTATTATTGACAAATAGACCAATGTATTTTTCATATACTCTTTATGCTTCCAGTTTTACTTAATATTTGGTAACCTTTGGTGCATTAGCTAACATAACAATGAGCAATACATTGCTACCATTGTTACAATATTTATTACAACATTAGTTAATAAACAACTATTAGAATAAAGAGAATAAAAGAGAAAGAGAAAGAATAATTGACTCATAAATAAAAATTTACTCCAAAGTGTAGATGAGTTTTTTTTTCATCTGAAAAGATTACATCAATTGCTCATCAATAAATGATGAATCAATTGCAGTGAATGGGTGCCATCAGAATGAGACTCCAAACAGCTCATAAAACATCACAACAGTCTACAAGTAAGTCCAGTCCATCAATTAATGTCTTTTGAAGTGGAAAAACGGTGAATTTGTAATTAACTCCTTATATGTAACTGTATTAACTGTGTATTTAAGCTCTCTATCCATAATATTGCTTTCTCCAGTGAAAAAGTGAAAAGAGAGGCATGCACAGATTAAGCATTTAAAAGTGAAAACAGTCCAAAACTGCTCTAAACAAATATGTTGGTGGATTTTGATGTGAGAGGATGACTGGAGGAAGCGTTAATATGGATTGTGGATTTGTATTTTGGCCAGAAGCAACAGTTTAAAGTTAAAATGCCCTAATTGATTTGTTTATGATAAACACACAGCTTTTCACGTCACAAGACATTAATTGATGGACAGGATTTGTGTTTATTAATTGTGGATTATTGTGATGTATTTATCAGCTGTTTGGACTCTCATTCTGATGGCACCCATTCACTGCAGAGGATCCATTGGTGAGCAAGTGATGCAATGCTAAATTTCTTAAAATCTGTTCCAACGAAGAAACAAACTCATCTACATATTGGATGGCCTGATGGTAAAAACATATTCAGCAAAATTTCATTAGTTGATGTTAGCTCAGGGCAATTTACCAATTTTGATTTTAACAATGTAGTAAATGTTGAAATTAGCATTAAATAAGCATTAAATAAGATTAATAAATGCTTTAGAAGTATTTTTCATTGTTAGTTCATCTTAACAACATGACCTTTTTTCACTTAAAAAAATAAATAAAAATAAAAATAATAAAAATTAACAGCCACCTCATTGAAGGCCCTTGCTTTAACTAGTTAGGAAAGTTCTTCCACAATTTATACCACCTATACTTCCACCTATACTTAACACTGACGTATCAAGGGAATTACCTGTACTTTTTCTTGACAGCACTAGCCCTCAGTGAAAAGACTGTCTCTAAAGAGAAGCCTTGTTTTTCCACTACATGATGACATGTGTCATGGGCTTCCTCAGGTCTGAAAGGGCAGAAAGATTTTAATAATTAATGAGTTTTAATGAAATGGTTTTAATGTTGATCTTAGGGGTGTTCTTGCTGCTCTCTTGTGTCTCTTTACTTTAATGTTTACTTAAAATTTGTCTGTCCATCATCTTCATCATCATCATCATCATCATGAGACTGTGGAAATTAACTTTTCAAACTTAGTGTTTTTAACTTTTGGCACATTTCAAGTATACAGTACACGTCTAACAATTAAAATAATGTAACAGTTTGCAACATAATTCTGACTGATTATGAAAGTCAGTTAAAGAGGCTAAGTCTGAATTCCTTTTCAAACTCATTATTCAAAATGCAAACCGACCGAGGATGCTGTTTAAGACAATTGATTTGGTGATAAATCCCTTACCTTTCTCTTGATCCATCTCGGAAAACCTGTGAGAACTTTAAAAAAAAAGTTGATAATAAAGTATTGAATATTAAGGCTTCTATTAAGCCATCAACATATGATCCCCGATTGAGCTGTTCACCAACAGAGTTGTTAACTTGTTTTCATCCAATTTCCTCTGCACAGCTAGCTGATATTGTTGTTAAGACCAAATCCTCCAGCTGTGAGTCTGATGTCATCTCAGCTCGTCTTTTTAAGGAAGTGTTTGCAAGCCTGAGTCCGGCTGTAACAGCCATCATTAATAGTTCTTTAGCAAATGGAGTTGTACCAGTTTCAAACATGCTGTGGTTCACCCTCTGCTTAAGAAACCTCACCTTGATCCATCTATCCTCAGTAATTTCCGACCTATTTCTAAGTTGACTTTTATCTCAAAGCTATTAGAGAGAGTTGTTTATCGTCAGTTGAATTCCTATATCATTATGCCCAATGTTTTAGATACTTTTCAGTCAGGTTTTAGATCACTGCACAGCACAGAAACTGCACTGTTGAAGGTTAGCAATGACCTTTTGCAAGTTCTCTATACTGGTTTATATGTGGTGCTTGTTTTGTTGGATTTAAGTGCGGCATTCGATACAATTGATCATAGTATTCTGTTACATCGGTTGGAAAAGTTGGTGGTTATTCAGGGTGTCGCTCTGCAGTGGTTGGCCTCTTATCTCAAAGACAGAACCTTCTCAGTGAGCATTGGGAAGTTTTCTTCTTCGTCGGCTCCTTTGTTATGCGGTGTGCCCCAAGGGTCCATTTTAGGCCCTCTTTTTTCACTTTACATGCTTCCCTTGGGTGCCATTTTTAAGAAATATAAGATTTCCTACCACTGCTATGCTGACGATACACAGTTCTATCTTCTAGCAAAAACTGACAACAGTGATTCTTTGGATGTGCTCTACGACTGTTTTGAGGAGATAAAATTTTGGATGGCTAATAATTTTTTGCAATTAAACGAAAGCAAAAGCGAAATTCTGATTTTAGGCCACTCTAGGACTTCATCTGTTTTTAATTTAGGGTCTCTCTCTGCCAGTGTTCAACCCTATGTAAGAAATCTTGGGGTTACATTTGATTTGTTACTCAACTTTGAGAAACAAATTAGCACAGTGGTAAAGGGCTTCTTCCATCTGAGATCAATTGCTAAACAGAAACAGTTTTTGCCCCACAAAGATTTGGAGACTGCAATCCATGCTTTCATAACATCACGCCTGGATTACTGTAATTCCCTTTACTGTCGCCTGCCTCAAACAGCGATTTCTCGTCTGCAAATTGTCCAAAATGCTGCAGCGAGGCTGGAACAAAAAAGAGGGATCACATTACTCCAATTTTAGCGTCTTTACATTGACTTCCTGTAAAGTTTAGAATTGATTTTAAAATAGCTGTCTTTGTGTACAAGGCTTTATCTGGTCTTGCACCAAAATACATCAGTGACCTTCTGATTCCTTACTCTCCTCAAAGAGCACTTAGGTCTATTAATCAGCTTCTCTTAACTGTCCCACGTTGTCGCTGTAAAACCAAGGGTGGTCGGGCTTTTTCAGCTGCAGCTCCTAAACTTTTTAATAGTTTGCCTGTAAATGTGAGACTTGCTGCTTCACTAGCCAGTTTTAAGTCTGTTCTCAAATCTTATTTGTTTTCTCTGGCTTTTGATTAATGTCAGTTTAAGGTTTTGATGACAGTTTGCTCTGATTCTATTTTAATGTGTTTATTTTTCATATGATGCATGTTTCCTATTATGCTTTTTATATACTGTGTTTTGTTGTACAGCACTTTGGCACAACTCTGTTGCTTTTAAAAGTGCTATAGAAATAAATTTTGACTTGACTTGAATCTACTGAACTGATATTAAACTGAACTGATTATTAAAACACTGTTTCTACAAAATTAAAGAAAAAAAAAGTTGAAAAACTCTTTCTAAGGAATTCTAAGGAAAAAAAAAATACACATATATATATATATATAATTTTTATATGTAATTTTGTTGGACCAATAATTTTCTCCTATTAAATTCGGATAAGACAGAGATATTACTTATTAGACCAAAAAACAGTACACAGAATCTCTTGGATTACAATTTGCAACTAGACGGATGTACTGTTACTTCCTCTACAGTCAAAAATCTGGGTGTTATATTAGATAGCAACTTGTCTTTTGAAAATCATATTTCCCATGTTACAAAAACTGCATTCTTCCATCTTAGAAACATTGCCAAAGTACGAAACATGTTACCTGTTTCTGATGCGATCATGCATTCATGACCTCTGGACTACTGTAATGCACTGCTAGGTGGTTGTCCTGCATCTTCAATAAACAAGCTACAGTTAGTCCAAAATGCAGCGGCTAGAGTCCTTACCAGGTCAAGAAAATATGATCATATTACCCCAATTTTACAGTCTCTGCACTGGCTACCTATTAAGTTCCGTATCAGTTACAAAATATTATTACTTGCCTATAAGGCCCTTAATGAGCTCCTGCGTACCTAACTAGTCTTCTACCACGCTACAATCCATCACGCTCCCTAAGGTCGCAAAACACTGGACTTTTGGTAGTACCTAGGATAGCAAAGTCCACTTGAATATATATATATATATATATATATATATATATATTTTTTTTTCCCTTAGAATTATTTGGTTCTGAAGTTTATGGGAAACCATCTGTGGTCCTAAATAGATCGGATCTTAATTTAAGCTCAATTTGCAACCCTAAAATTAACTTTTATTTTATTTTATTTCATATTATTTTATTTCATTTTATTTTCAACATTGTCAGAGAAAACACCTTCAGTGACATTTTGTTAAAAAAAAAGTTCGACAGTAAACATCAGACACTTGATAATTTCTATCTCGTTTATTGATTTATTTACAGATGTCCTGGTTTTGTCGCGTCACACCTGTGTTCACGTCTCTACAGGAAGTACTGCACAGGATGCTTGAGACGGACTCACCTGCAGCTCGAAACTGGGTGGGAAGTGAAACTTTACGATTTGCAATAAATATGTTTGTTTTTCAGCTACAAACCCCACATTAAAATCAAATCAACAGGGTTATACTCTCTCGGTGCTAAAGGATCATGTAAAACAGGATGGAAGGCTAGTTTCTTGCGGTTTCTCCTGCAGACACCTGCGCGCGCGTGTCAGTGAGTTTCGCTGTAGGTGAGGACAAAAGGCCGCCTGCATGACACATGAACGGCAACACAGAGGACTGACAGCGGCCAATTTGACAAATACGTCGTATGACATGGAGCCACTCAAATCTGGGAATAAAATTCCGGTATGTTTTAAACTGAATATCATAATTTTTTTATTTTAGTCCGCCGTTTCCGTCGTTGTCAGCTGCTAAATTTTCCGATATTAATCTTATGGGACGTCCTGTACAGTGCTGTTTGTGTTTAGTAATTAACACAATTGTGCCTAAATTGTTCAGTATTTATAGTTTATATACATATATATGTTAGTTGTATAATATATTGTTATATATTCTAAAAGTTATTTTTAATCAGTCATATATGTATATACAGTACATACTACATAAATACACATACACACACACACACGTA